CTGTCAGCCGAAGCGGGTTTCCTCTGCGGGGTGCGCTGCCGGGCGCGGGAGGACGGGCGGCCGAGTGCTGACCCCGAGCCCGAAGGCGACGCGCTGGACGGAGCCAAGTCCCTGGGCCTGCAGACAACGCCTCGACTGTTTGCTCTTGTTCCCAGTTCGCACGCCCTCCTGGTCATGAACAGATGTCGCCTTATCTTGATGTTGCGTTCTCAGTTTAAACACTGCACATCTGCTCGACGCTTCCGTGACTGTTTATCTTACCCACGCCTGGTTGGGATTTATTACCAATCGCCGAGACCACGCCTGGGGTGCGGCCCTAAAACTAGTAATAACACGCTGTGTTAGAAACAAACTTTGCCATTAGCCATCAGCTTTCGGTCGTTCATTGGGTCCGCGGTCGTCTCCCGAGTCCCCTCCTCTAGAAGGAGAACTCAACAAGCGGCGCCCGAACAGGGACCCGGCAGAACCCAGAAATGGGAAACGGAACCAGGAACGACGGGAGTGGTGAGTCAGACACAACCCCGCGTTCTCAAGGAAGGTTTGGAACTTTCCTCCCCTGTGAGATAACTACCCAGGGAAGGAAATCGGCCGGACTTGCAGACACTGGCACCGATGTTTCCATCACTGCCAAGAGGCACAGGCCTCTTACACGGCCCTCTAATCAGGTCCATTGTGCTCTATCTGGAGCGGGCTCTACAGGCTCCTACACACTTCAGTCATCCCAGTTACTTACAGTGAAGGCGCCAGGTGATCAAAGTGCGTATTTGCAACCGTATATTTTTAGGGAAAAAAAAAAAAAAAAGAGGCCCACACTGTGTTATCAGCCTGATGCTGCCTGCAAAGATCTGAAATCCAAAACAAAGCCAGAGAAACTGCAACTATGTTTTACCAGACATTAAGAGATATTACAAGAAAAATCACATTACAAATTTTAACTATTTGATAAATGTATCTTTGTTTCAACTTAAATTGAGTTTAATTGGTGTACTTATGACCCTTCTTGTGCATTGCAAATTCTTGAATTACGATTATAGGGTTAACTTGCTCTTTTTTATACTTTGTTGATAAAAAACTCAATACTGTTCTGTTGGCAGCCAGTCAAATTTTAAGATGTAACAATCTGAGAGCATTATAGAAACATATTAGGAAAGCTATAAATAAAATAAATAAAAGAGATATACTTTTGACATGAAGGTTTTTTATATGTTTGTCTTGCTAAGAAGAGATGAAAACAGATACACAAAACCAAAAGGCCTAAGTATGTAGAAAAGGTGTAAAAAAAATGATTTAACAAAAAAAATGTATGTTTGTCTTGTTGGTTTCAAGTTTGTTATGCAAGATTTACATTTACAGTCATAAGGAGTTTTCATTCCTTTTGATTCTAATTTTACAAGAGATCTCTATTAACTGACCTACATTTTGACTAGTCATAACTAAAAGAGATTTTATAATTCAAATGGCCAAATATATTGAGTGCGCTCTAGTTTCATAAATTATCTTATATGTTTGTCTGTGTCTGTCCAATTGTTTGAAAAGTGTTTATCCAATTACATTTTTTATTAAAATGCTGTCAAGGATGCAAATAATTTGTTAATTTATACCATCAGGTTTTATAAGTTAAAAATTT